GCGGGAGGGGGGGCGGGTTTAAAACCCCTTTACCTGCCCGCTTCAAACATGGCGCCGCTCGCCACGCCTTCCCCTCCCTTGCGCACGCGCAGTGCCAAGGGCAAGATGGCGGCGCTGAGGGCGCTCGGGTGGCTCCGGGGGGCACCTTCGGGGCTGCGGGCGGCGGCGAGGCTGGGCCCGGCCCCGGTGCGGTGAGAGCGGGGCCAGCGGCGGGGGATGAGGACAGCGGGGACGGGGTTGCTGCGGGTCCGGTCCCCGCCTCACGCCCGTCCCGTCCCGTCGCGGCCCTCAGGTCGGCGTGGCAATGGCAGCCCGATGTGGAGTGGGCGCAGCAGTTCGCGGGGGCCGTCATGTACCCGAGCAAAGAGACCGAGAAGTGGGTGCCGCCACCCTGGAACGGTGAGGGGGGGGGTGCTCGGTGGGCTCCGGGGTCCATTGGGTGCCCTGTGGGTGCGCTGGGGTTTGGGGGTGCCCTGGGCCTGCCTTGTGCCCCCCAACCCCATGGGTGTCATTGGGGTGGTGGTGGTTGGGGGGGGGGAATCCCTTGGGAGGTTCCCGCTGTGGAGCCTTGGAGCCGATGCGGCGCTGACGGGAACGCCGCGTTCCTGCTGCACGGCCAAGCTCTGACGTCCTTGGGTCCGGGAAGAGCCGGGATCAGGACATTCCCGTCCCCATTCCCGACTGTGTTCCCCCGCCATCCATCATTCATCATCCCTCCCTCCCTCCATCCCTCCCTCCCTCCATCCTTCCCTCCATCCCTCCCTCCCTCCATCCATTCATCATCCCTCCCTCCATCCCTCCACCCACCCCTCCCTCCCTCCCTCCCTCTCTCCCTCCCTCCATCCTCCCTCCCTCCCTGCCTCCATCATCCCTCCCTGCCTCCATCATCCCTCCCTGCCTCCATCATCCCTCCCTGCCTCCATCATCCCTCCCTGCCTCCATCATCCCTCCCTCCATCCTCCTTCCATCCATCCCTCATCCCTCCCTCCCTCCATCCTCCTTCCATCCATCCCTCATCCCTCCATCCCTCCATCCATCCCTCCCTCATCTCTCCCTCCCTCCATCATCCCTCCCTCCATCCTCCTTCCATCCATCCCTCATCCCTCCCTCCCTCCCTCCCTCCCTCTCGGCACAGACAAGGACCCGGTGGCTCACAGGAAGGTCTCCAGTTTAACCATCAACTTCGGGCCGCAGCACCCGGCGGCGCACGGCGTCCTGCGCCTCGTCATGGAGCTCAGCGGGGAGTCGGTCAAGCGCTGCGACCCCCACATCGGCCTCCTGCACCGCGGCACCGAGAAGCTCATCGAGTACAAGACCTACCTGCAGGTAGCGCCCCATGGGGCAGCTCCTCGCCGTGGGGATACCCTGGCGATGTGCCCGCCCCATCCCTGCTGCTGAGGGATGGGGTTTGGAGCCCACCTGGTCCTTGTCCGCGTGGCTCTGGATGGGCTTTCAGGTCCTTTCCAACCCAAACCAGGTTGGGATTCCAGGGAGGCAGCGCTGTGGCTCCGGGCTTGGGAGCTGGAAAGCTCCATCGGAGGGGTGTTATCCATCCTCCTTCCCATCCTATCCCGTTTCTCCCCGTCAGGCTCTGCCTTACTTCGACCGCCTCGACTACGTGTCCATGATGTGCAATGAGCAGGCCTATTCCTTGGCCGTGGAAAAGCTGCTCAACATCCGCCCGCCGCTGCGGGCCCAGTGGATCCGGGGTGAGGAAGGAAGGGATCCCATGGGGATTCCATAGGGATCCTATAGGGATTTCATAGGGATTCTGTAGGGGTTCCATGGGGATCCCATAGGGATTCTATAGGGTTCTCATAGGGATTCTATAGGGTTCCCATAGGGATCCCATAGGGATTTTATAGGGATCCCATACAGATCCCATGGGGTTTCTATAGGGATTCCATGGGGATTTCATGGGGTTTCCATACGGATTCCATGGGCATCCCATAGGGATTCTATAGAGATCCCAGACAGACCCCATAGGGATTCTGTGGGGATTCCATAGGGATTCTGTGGGGATTCCATGGGGATTTCATGGGGTTTCCATACGGATTCCATGGGCATCCTATAGGGATCCCATAGGGATTATATAGGGATTCTATGGGGATCCCATAGGTATTCTATAGGGATTCCATAGGGATCCTATTGGGATTCTGTAGGGTTCCCGTAGGGATCCTATAGGGATCCTATTGGGATTCTGTAGGGTTCCTGTAGGGATCCTATAGGGATTTCATAGGGATCCCATAGGGATTTTATAGGGATCCCATACAGATTCCATGGGGATTTCATGGGGTTTCCATATGGATTCTATGGGCATCCCATAGGGATTCTGTAGGGATCCCAGACAGATCCCATAGGGATTCCATAGGGGTTCTGTGTGGATTCCATAGGGATTCTCTTCGGATTCCATGGGGATTTCATGGGGTTTCCATACAGATTCCATGGGCATCCTTTAGGGATCCCATAGGGATTATATAGGGATTCCATGGGGATCCCATAGAGCTTCTATAAGGATCCCATAGGGCTTCTATAGGGATTCCATGGGGATTCCATGGGGATCCCATGGGGATTGCAGCTCCCCCCCTCATCCCACAGTGCTCTTCGCCGAGATCACGCGCCTGCTCAACCACATCATGGCCGTGACCACGCACGCGCTGGACATCGGCGCCATGACCCCCTTCTTCTGGATGTTCGAGGAGAGGGAGAAGGTGGGGGGGCCCATGGCTGGATGTGGGGCTGCCTTCCCCCCCCTTCCTCCCCATAGCAGCTCTTTCTCCTCCTCTCCCCCATAGATGTTCGAGTTCTATGAGCGCGTGTCGGGAGCGCGGATGCACGCTGCCTACATCCGCCCCGGGGGGGTGCACCAGGTAACGTTGTTGTTGTGATACCCCAAGCCCCCCATGGGTGCCACTGGATGGGTGCTGACCCCTCTGGTTCCCCCCTTTTGTCCCATCCAGGACCTGCCCTTAGGGCTGATGGATGACATCTATGAGTTCGTGAAAAACTTCTCCATCCGGATAGATGAGGTGGAGGAGGTGAGGATCCCGCTGGCAAAGCTGGAAGAGGGGAAGGTCAGGTTGGATATAGGGAAGCTCTTCCCCTGGGAGGGGGCTGAGGGTGCCCAGAGGAGCTGGGGCTGCCCCATCCCTCGCAGCGCTCAAGGCCAGGTGGGAGCATCCTGCTCTAATGGAAGGGGTCCCCGGCCATGGCTTTAGATGAGCTTTAAGCTCCCTTCATCCCAGCCCATCTGGGACACTAAAAGTGGGCCATGGGGACGCCGTGAGGGCTGGGAATGGGGTGGGAGGGGTGACGGGGGGGTGATGGACTCTGCACCCCCACAGATGCTCACCAACAACCGCATCTGGAAGAACCGCACCGTCGACATCGGTGTCGTAACAGCAGAGGAGGCTCTGAACTACGGCTTCAGGTGGGTCTGGGGGACCTTGGGGGGCAGCCCCACACTAGGGCCCTGCTCACCCACTCCCTCCTCGCAGTGGGGTCATGCTCCGGGGCTCGGGAATCCATTGGGATCTCCGGAAGACCCAACCCTACGACGTCTACGACCAAGTGGAGTTCGACGTCCCCATCGGTTCCCACGGCGACTGCTATGACCGGTACCTGGGGGTCAGACCCACACTTGGGGGGGGGGGAGGGGGTGGTTGGGGCTGTGATGAGGCTATGGTGACCCCATGGGGCACCCACTGGGCATGGTGCTGTGGGTGCTGAGCGCCGTGGGGCGGGGGGGGTGCCCACAGGTACCTGTGCCGCGTGGAGGAGATGCGCCAGTCGCTCCGCATCATCCTGCAGTGCCTCAATAAGATGCCCGAGGGCGAGATCAAGGTGGATGATGCCAAGATCTCGCCACCAAAGCGGGCAGAGATGAAGGTAAAGGAGGTTCCATCCCGCACCAGGCCTCACCAAGAGGGGCGAGATGGGGTTTGGGGGGTGTTTTGTGTCACCGTGGCCATCCCTGGGCATGGATGCGGCCACCACCCCGCTCCTCACGGTGCTCCGTGTCCCTCCTCTCTCCGCAGACCTCCATGGAGTCCTTGATCCATCACTTCAAGCTCTACACCGAGGGCTACCAAGTGCCCCCCGGGGCCACCTACACGGCCATCGAGGCCCCCAAGGTGCCTCTTGTGTTACGGTGACACAAAGGACACACACACACACACCTCGGTGTCACCGTGACCCCAACCCCATCCCTGTGTCCCTGCAGGGGGAATTCGGTGTGTACCTGGTGTCCGACGGCAGCAGCCGCCCCTACCGCTGCAAGATCAAGGCACCGGGGTTCGCTCACCTGGTAGGAGAAGCCGGTTGGGGCATCACCCCATAGCGAGGGCACGGGGTGGGGGGGAATCGGGGCTTATGGGGGGGTGCCCACTGCCTGCGGGTCCTTCGTCTCCCCACATCTCCCCTCGTGCTGCTCCGGATGCCCCCATCCTCATCCTCATCCCATCGCTGGCTCAGGGGTCAGGGTGCTGGAGGGGGTGCTATGGGGCTGATGGGGGGTCCCTGTGTTCCTCCAGGCCGGGCTGGACCGCATGTCCCAGGGCCACATGCTGGCGGACGTGGTGGCCATCATCGGTACGTCCCCTCCTTGGGTTTGGGGTGGGGGGGTCCTGGAGGGGTGTCCCTGTCCCCCCACCCTTCCTGGGTGCTGCTCCTCCCCTGACCCCCATGTCCCCCCCCCAGGCACACAGGACATCGTCTTTGGTGAAGTGGACCGGTGAAGCGACAGCCCCAGCTCCTTGTGCCCCATTGGGGGGGCCTGGTTCCCGCCCCCCCACTGCACCCCCTTTTCCTCTGCTGCCATTAATAAAGGCTGAAGTGGGCCCCTGCCCCAGCCCCTGCTGCTCTGGGGGGAACTTCCCTCCCCTTCCCTTCCCTTCCCTTCCTATGTAGGGTTTGTGGTGAGAGCTTCCCCTTTGCTGGCTGGGGAACCCCCTGTTGGGTGCTGGCAGCACCCATAGGGGGACGGTGACAGTGGGGCCGGGATGGAGACAGTGGGGCTGGGTGACGGCGGCAGTGGGGCTGGGACGGTGACAGTGGGGCTGGGACGGTGACAGTGAGGCTGGGACGGTGACAGTGGGGCTGGGTGACGGTGACAGTGGGGCTGGGTGATTGTCACACTGGGGCTGGGATGGTGACAGTGGGGCTGGGATGGCGACAGTGGGGCTGGGTGATTGTCACACTGGGGCTGGGATGGTGACAGTGGGGCTGGGATGGCGACAGTGGGGCTGGGATGGTGACAATGGGGCTGGGTGACGGTGACAGTGGGGCTGGGTGATTGTCACACTGGGGCTGGGATGGTGACAGTGGGGCTGGGATGGGGACACTGGGGCTGGGTCATGGTGACAATGGGGCCGGGTGACGGCGACAGTGGGGCTGGGTGACGCTGGCCCCGGCTGTTGGCCGGAGGAGCGGAAGTGCCGTGGGGTGGGTGAAGGCTCCGGCTCGGTCACCGTCACCGGCTGTCACCCACCGGCCCCTGCTGCCACCCGCTGCACCCATGGGTGTCCTCTTGCTCCTGCTCCTGCTCCAGACCCCAGCAGCAGGTTGGGGGGGGGAGGATCTGTGGGGCGGGCAAGGGGCTGGGTGGGTTCATGGCAGTGGGGTTGGGAGCCGGGGATCACCCAGAGGAGAGTCCTGGAGGGTTCCGGGTGCCCCAATGGACGTCGGAACCACCCTGGACCCACTGCAATGGGGCTGAGTGGGGAGCACCAACAAAGGAACCGACCTGGGGACCCCCATAACGGGGCTCACTGGGGCCCCCCTGCAATGGGGCCCCCCAGGGGCAGGGGCTCATCTGGGCCCCCACACAACGGAACCGATCCTGGGATGCCCCCGGACCCCTTTGCAATGGGGCTGACCCCAGGGACCCCCCCCCAACAATGGGGACCCCCCCTCACCCTCCCCAGAGGCCCTGATGGAGCCGGAGTTCTGCTACATCCTCGATGCCATCCTCTTCCTCTACGGCATCATCCTCACCACCATCTATTGCCGCCTCAAGGTGAGCACCGGGGGACCACATTCCCCCCCCCCCATTTCTGGGTCTCTCCCGATGTTTTTCCCTCTGATTCCTGTGCTTTTCCCCCACTTTTTGGGGTGCCCCCCCCCCCCCCATTCCCGGCAGTTCATCGTTTACCGAGCATCACAGGAGGGAGCTACCAAGAAGGTCAGAGATTGGGGGGGTGGGGGGGATGGATTGGGGGGACCCCCCCTTGTTCCCTAAGGAATGAGGGGTGCAGGGGGGGGTGCCCGTGTCCCCCCCCCTTGTCCCTTTATCTCTTTCCTTTTCCCTAAGCAGAAGGAAGAAGCCATCTATGTTGTAAGTCACTTGTGGGGGGGGGGAGTGGGGTGCTGGTGCCCCCCCCCCCAGTTGCTCTCCCTTATGGGGTCCCTGCGCTGAGCCCCCCAAAATGGGTTGAGTGGGGTCTTCTCCCACTGGGTTGAATGGGCCCCCCCCCCATTGGGTAGAATGGGACCCATTGGGGGGGGGGGGTTGATGGTGGTTGGGGGGCACCAACACCTTGTGTGTCCCCCCCCTTGTTCCCCCTTTGTCCCTGCAGGGGCTCAGCAGTGAGGGCCAAGAGACGTACGAGACCCTCGAGATCAGAGGCTCCTGACCCCATCCTGCAGCCTCAGCCCCCCTGAACTTAGGGGGCGGTGGGGGGGGGTGCGGTGCTGCCCCCCCCATTCTGCTCTGTGTGTCCCAGTAAAGCAGCACCACGTGTAAATGGGGCAGGGGGTCTGTAACTGGGGGACGGGGGGGGGGAGATGGGGATGGGGACAGCGGCACCCACAGGGGGTGAACCCCAAAACCCCCACAAACCACCCTAAGACCCCCCCCAAGACCCTCTTGAACTCCCCCAAAACTCAGCCTCCAGGAGCTCGGACCCTGATGGGGGGACCCCCACATCTGGACCCCCCCCACCAAGAAGCCGGACCCCCACATCTGGGACCCCCACATCTGGGACCCCCACATCTGCCCCCCCCCCGAAGCCGGACCCCCACATCTGTGACCCCCACATCTGGACCTCCCCCCCTCCAAGAAGCCGGACCCCCACATCTGGGACCCCCACATCTGGGACCCCCACATCTGGACCCGCCTCCCACCAAGAAGCCGGACCCCCACATCTGTGACCCCCACATCTGGACCTCCCCCCCTCCAAGAAGCCGGACCCCCACATCTGGGACCCCCACATCTGGGACCCCCACATCTGGACCCCCCTCCCACCAAGAAGCCAGACCGCCACATCTGGGACCCCCACATCTGGGACCCCCACATCTGGGACCCCCACATCTGGGACCCCCCCAAGAAGCCGCACCCCCACATCTGTGACCCCCACATCTGGACCCCCCTCCCACCAAGAAGCCGGACCCCCACATCTGGGACCCCCACATCTGGACTCCCCCCCCAAGAAGCCGGACCCCCACATCTGGGACCCCCACATCTGGGACCTCCACATCTGGCACCCCCCCCACCAAGAAGCCGGACCCCAACCTCTGGGGTCTCGGTCCGCCGGTCCGCTAGGGGGAGTCAAGCACGGCCCCGTGCACTGCAGCGCCACCTGGCGGGCGGGTGGCGCCACCGCGCCGTTAGGGGCGGGGCTTCGGCGGGGGCAGGGGCGGAGCCTCGGCGGGTGGGCGGGGCGGGCGCGCCCCCTGGTGGAGGCGGAGCCGCGCGAAGATGGCGGCGGAGCCGGGGCCGGAGCCGGAGCCGGAGCCGGGCCCTGACCCGGAGCTGGAGGCGCTGCTCGAGAGTGAGGGGGGGGGGGAACGGGGGGGCAGGAGCGGTGTTGGGGGGCTGGGGGGGGGTCACTGGGGTGAGGGGGTCACTGGGGTGAAATGGGGCTGGGGGTCAGTGGGGCGCGGGGAGCTCATTGGGGTACAAGGGAGGTCATTAGGGTGCGGGTGGGGTCATTGGGGTGCACTGGGGTTCATTGGGGTGCAGGGGGCTCATTGGGGTGCTGGGGGGTTCATTGGAGTTCAAAGGGCTCACTGGGGTACACTGAGTCTCATTGGGGTGCAAGGGCCTCATTGGGGTGCAAGGGCCTCATTGGGGTGCAGGGGGGCTCATTGGGGTGCAAGGTGCTTATTGGGGTACATTGCAGCTCATTGGGGTGCAAGGGGCTCATTGGAGTGCAGGGGGGCTCATTGGGGTGCACTGGGGTTCATTGGGGTGCAAGGGGCTCATTGGGGTACATTGCAGCTCATTGGGGTGCAAGGGGCTTATTGGGGTACATTGCAGCTCATTGGGGTGCAAGGGGCTCATTGGAGTGCGGGGGGGCTCATTGGGGTGCAGGGGGGCTCATTGGGGTGCACTGGGGTTCATTGGGATGCAGGGGGGCTCATTGGGGTGCACTGCGGCTCATTGGCGTGCAGGGGGGCTCATTGGGGTGCAAGGGGCTCCTTGGGGTACATTGGGGCTCGTTGGGGTGCAGTGAGGCTCACTGGGGTGCAAGGGTCTCATTGGGGTACATTGGGGTTTATTGGGGTTCACTGGCTCTCATTGGGGTGCAGGGGGCTCATTGGGGTACAAGGACCTTATAGGGGTACACTGGGGCTCATTGGGGTGCAGTGGGGCTCATTGGGGTACAAGGGCCTCATAGGGGTACACTAGGGCTCATTGGGGTGCAGGGGGCTCATTGGAGTACACTGGGGCTCGTTGGGGTGCAGTGAGGCTCATTGGGGCACAAGGGTCTCGTTGGGGTGCACGGGTGCTCATTGGGGTGCAGGGGTGCTCATTGGGGTACACTGGGGTTCATTGGGGTGCAGGGGGGCTCATTGGGGTGCAAGGGTTTCATTGGGGTACACTGGGGTTCATTGGGGTTCACTGGCTCTCATTGGGGTGCAGGGGGCTCATTGGGGTACACTGGGGTTCATTGGGGTTCACTGGCTCTCATTGGGGTACACTGGGGTTCATTGGGGTTCACTGGCTCTCATTGGGGCGCAGGGGGCTCATTGGGGTACAAGGGTCTCATAGGGGTACATGGGGCTCATTGGGGTGCAGGGGGGCTCATTGGGGTACACTGGTGCTTGGGGTGCAGTGAGGCTCATTGGGGTACAAGGGGCTCATTGGGGTGCAGGGGGCTTATTGGGCTGCAGGGGGGCTCATTGGGGTACATTTGGGCTCGGGGTGCAGTGAGGCTCACTGGGGTACAAGGGTCTCATTGGGGTGCAGGGGGCTCATTGGGGTGCAGGGGGGCTCATTGGGGTACAAGGGCCTCATTGGGGTACACTCGGGCTCATTGGGGTGCAGGGGGCTCATTGGGGTGCAGGGGAGCTCATTGGGGTGCAAGGGGCTCATTGGGGTACAGTGGGGCTCATTGGGGTGCAAGGGGCTCATTGGGGTACACTAGGGCTCATTGGGATGCAAGGGGCTCATTGGGTTACACTGGCTCTCATTGGGGTGCAGGGGGCTCTTTGGGGTGCAGGGGGGCTCTTTGGGGTGCAGGGGTCTCGTTGCGGTGCAGGGGGGCTCTTTGGGGTGCAGGGGGCTCGTTGGGGTGCAGGGGGGGCTCGTTGGGGTACACTGGGGCTCATTGGGGTACAAGGGGCTCATTGGGTTACACTGGCTCTCATTGGGGTGCAGGGGGCTCGTTGGGGTGTGGGGCTGCCCTTCAAGTGCAGAATCCTCCTTTCCCCCCCCGCCAGGTGCCTTGGATGACTTCGACAAGACCCGACCCCCCCCTCCGCCGCCCCCCGCTCCCGGCTCCGGCACCGAGCCCTCACCCAGCGACGCCGCCAAGGTGAGCACCGGGGTGGGGGTGGGGGGGTGAAACGGGGCTCCAGCCCCACTGCTTGGGGGTCAGGGCGGTTGTGGGGCTGCTGCTTCATCCCCATCCCTCCCCGGCGCAGGCGTCCCTGTTCGCGGCGCAGGAGCGCTTCTTCGAGGAGCTCTTCGAGGGGGACCTGGCGGCGCAAGCGGCGGCCGAGTTCGACCGGGCCATGCAGGAGCTGGCGCGGGAGGAGCCGCACCTGGTGGAGCAGTTCCAGAAGCTCTCGGAAGCCGCCGGTAGAGTCGGTGAGCGCCGGGGGCCGCGATGGGCTCCGTGGGCTGGTAACGCTGGTAACGCTGGTGGCGGTGCTGGTAACGGCACTGGTGATGGTGCTGGTAACAGCACTGGTAACGGCGCTGGTAACGGTGCTGGTAATGGCACTGGTGATGGCGCTGGTAACGGTGCTGGTAACGGCGCTGGTGATGGTGCTGGTAACAGCACTGGTAACGGCGCTGGTAACGGTGCTGGTAACGGCACTGGTGATGGTGCTGGTAACAGCACTGGTAACGGCGCTGGTAACGGTGCTGGTAATGGCACTGGTGATGGCGCTGGTAACGGTGCTGGTAACGGCGCTGGTAACGGCGCTGGTGACGGCGCTGGTGGCAGTGCTGGTAACGGCACTGGTAACGGTGCTGGTAATGGCACTGGTGATGGCGCTGGTGATGGCGCTGATAACGGCGCTGGTAACGGCGCTGGTGACGGCGCTGGTGGCAGTGCTGGTAACGGCACTGGTAACGGTGCTGGCAACGGCACTGGTAACGGCGCTGGTAACGGTGCTGATAATGGTGCTGATAATGGCGCTGACAATGGCGCTGGTAACGATGCTGATAACGGCGCTGGTAACGGTGCTGGTGACCATGCTGATAACGATACTGGTAACGGCGCTGGTAACGGTGCTGGTAATGGTGCTGATAATGGCGCTGGTAATGGCGCTGGTATCAGTGCCGGTAATGGCGCTGGTAAGGCTGGTAATGGAGCTGATAATGGCGCTGATAACAGTGCTGGTAAGGGTGCTTGTAAGGGTGCTGGTGATGGCGCTGATAACGGTGCTGGTAGCAGCACGGGTAATGGCACTGGTAACGGTGCTGGTAATGGTGCTGGTGACGGCGCTTGTGATGGCACTGATAATGGTGCTGGTAACGGCACTGGTAACGGTGCTGATAACAGCGCAGGTAACGGCGCTGGTAACGGTGCTGGTAATGGTGTAGGTAACGGTGCTGGTGACAGTGCTGATAACGGCGCTGGTAACAGCACTGGTAACAGCTCTCGTAACGGTGCTGGTAACGGTGCTGGTAACGGCGTGCCAAGGGGGTGCTGTGGCAGCACCGTAGGGGATGGTTTAGGGGTGTCGGTGTCTCCGGTGGCGCAGGCAGCGACGCGGCGTCGCAGCAGGAATTCACCTCCTGCCTCAAGGAGACGTTGAACGGCTTGGCCAAGAACGCCAGCGACCTGCAGGTATGGCTGCCCCATAGCCCCCCCCCCCCCCCTCTATGGGGTGTCCCGTCCCCCCCCCCCCCCCCTTGCTATGGGGCTGACGGTGCCCTCGCAGAGCTCTTCGGCCTCGGAGGAGGAGCTGGCGAAGGCGCTGGAAGGGCTGGGGCTGGAGGAGGGCGATGGCGACGGCGAGGGCAGCGTCCTGCCCGTCATGCGGAGCATCATGCAGAGCCTGCTCTCCAAGGACGTGCTCTACCCCTCGCTCAAGGAGATCACCGAGAAGGTCCGGGGATGGGGGCTACCGGTGGCTTGGGGCCGGGGTCACCCGGTGCCGGGGTCACCCGGTGCTGGTGGGATGGTACCGGTGTGGCCGGTGCTGGTGGGTGATGCCAATGAGTGGTACCAGTGCGACCCAGTGCTGGTGTGTGTCCCCCT